AATTTCGTGGCCGAGGGACCAGCGGTTCTCCCGAAACCGCTCGGGGTTGGGATACGCGCCCGGGTGACGCACCCGCAGCCACGCTGTACCCCACCGCTCACACACGTCGGAGCCGTGCTACTCTGACAGGTGTGGTGGTGGGGCCATATCGACTTTAGGTGGGGGGCGCCAAAGTAGTTCCCATACTACTATTGTCATTTGTATTTTTGTTACGAGTTAAAATAAAGGAAAATACTTCTCGTTTTCTAAGATGATGATGACGGGATAGTTGAATAAGCGCTTCCTACAAACGAAAGAGGAATAGGACAATTTGAACGGCTACGAGATCCCCTTTAGAACGATCCGTGTCCGTAACCAAGATTTTTCCTATGGTTTCCATGATAATTCTATTCTTCCCGGTCGACAAGGCGTATATCTGGTGTACTCATCACACCTATGTAGTCCTCCTCCTCTCCTTAATATCTATTAACATCAGTTATATCAAATTATATAAAATTTTCTCTGTTCATTTTTCTATTATCCTGTATCCTAATTCTGCTTTATATTAGCTAATATTTAGTATCACTGTTCGCCCTCACTTATTTGTCGCTTTGCTCATTTTTTTGTTTAAACTGTCCCCCCTTTTTCCTATACTGTTGTCTTCTCAGCTACTCCTAGCCCTCCTTGTCCTCTCTTTGTCTTCTTCCTCTGCTTCCTTCAGCGCCTTCTCGATCCTTGCTAATCTCTCGCACCCTTTCTTTCCAGGTTTCTCTCTTAACTCCATCAGAAACCTCTCCCTCCAGTTGATTCTGCCATACTTCCTCCTCCATTTTCTCCACCAGCTCCTATCCTCCTCTCTTAATCTCCTCATTAATTCCTTGCAGCTTATCACATGTTCCAGTCTTTCTGCCTTTTTTCCGCATGCCCTGCATTTGTCGTTTTCAAAGCCGCTCTTTCTTCCCCTCAGCACGTTTCCGCATCTCCACCTTGCCCATGACACCTTCTGCTCTATCCCTAGCCTCCTATCCCCCCAGTACTCGCTCATCGTTGTGTCCTCCTTCAACTCTCTATAGTAGTCGCAGTATCTCGACCTTTCAATCCTTTCCCAATCCTCCTGCTTTTACTGGTCCTCTAAGGTTTTCAGCAACTCCAGAAGTCTTTCCTCCGCCTCTGCCTCTCTCCCTTCCCACAGCAGTTCCAGAAATACCCCGTCTCCTAGCTTCCTCTGCACTTCCTTTCCCCAGTTCGTAGCCTGTCCATTTTTTATTCCTCTCAGTTCCTCCCTCAAGCACTTCCTTGCCCATCTACTCTCGTCCATCTTGCTCAGTTTGATCAAGAACCCTGCCGCTCTCCTTACTGCTTCCATTTCCACACTGCAAGTTCCTGCCTCCATTCTCCAAATATAGTCCGGTGTGTTTCTTGCCAACCCCATGCTAGCCTTTATGTACTTCTTCTGCACCCTCTCTACATTCTCCTACCTTTTCCACCCCCATAGCTCTACTCCGTATAGTGCCGCAGCCTTCACCGTCACCCCCATGAAGTATAGCCTCCTCCTCAGGTTCTTCAGCTTTGCCCTCGTCATTTCCCCCCAAGTTTTATTCACCATCGATTGTGCTTTCCCCGCCAATTTCCTCGTGTGNATTATTTTGGTTTTTTCTACGCTCACCACCATTAGATTCCTATCTGCCCATTTCTCCAATGTCTTCAGTATCTTTTGTAGATCTGACGCCTCTTCTGCAACTATTGCTGCATCATCTGCATACATTAGTGCAAATATTTTCACTTTCCCTCCTTGGCTAATCGGTATGCCCCCCTCGCCCCTCCTTTCTAGGTCCTCCACCATATCCTGTATAAAGATGTTAAACAGGATAGGACTCAGCGGACAACCTTGCCTCACTCCCTTCCTCATTTAAATTCCTCCGTCAACTCTTCTCCTGCGATTACCCTATTCCTAGTGTCTTCGTATATTTTCCTCGTCATCCTCAAGAACCTTCCCCTTATTCCCAGCCTCTTCATTTTTTCCCATAGTCTGTTCCTGTCCACCTTGTCAAAAGCCGCCTTAAAATCTATGAACGCCACATACAATTTCCCTCCTTTTTTCTTCAGCCTGTTCCCAATTACTGTGTTTAAAACAAATACCTGCTCCATCGTCCCTCTTTCTCTCCTAAATCCTACCTGCGCCTCCGATAGCTTTTCCTCTTCCTCTAACCAGTTTCCCAACCTCCCAGCCATTATTGATGCTAGTATTTTGTAGCCAATGTCCAAAAGCGATACCCCCCTGTAGTTTGCCACAACGTTCACATCCCCTCTCTTGTGGATTGGGAAAATCGTGGCCAAGTTCCACCTATGGATTATTTCCCCCTATTCCCATAGTTCCTTAATTATTTCGTTCAGCTCATCCATCCCCTCTTCTGGTAAGTTTTTCCAGAATTCTGCAGTTACTCCATCCTCTCCTGCTGCCTTCCCCCTCTTTAATTTAGCTACTGTCCTCAAAATCTCCCAATCCGTAACATCTCCATCTAGTTTGGCATCTTCTATTTGTTGCTCAAGTCCCCTCCCCTGATCTTCTTCCGCGCTTCCATCTATTTCCTCAACTAACTTCCTCTCCGCCCGGCTCTCGTCCTATGCTTCTAGTAGTTCCTTGAATTGCTTCAGCCACTCTTCCTTCTTCACATTGTTGCTCTCTCTCTTCTTCCCTTGCCTAAACCAGTTCATCGCCTTCCACCAGTCTGCCATTGTCCTCCCCTGTGCTACTTTCCTCTGCTTTTCCTGTATCCATTCCATCACAAGCCTTGACCTCAGTTTTCTAAGCTTTTTCTTCGACTGGTTGTATTTCCGTTTAGTTTCCCAATCCCTTTTTTTCCTAAATTTCTTCAAGCTTTTAAACATTACCCGTCTTTCTTTCTCATATTGCCCATTATCCCAGGCTGCCAGGTCTCTTCGTCTGCCGCTCACCGTCATCTTCACCTCCTGTGCTGTTTCAGTCGTTACCTTCACCAGTCTCTCCCATCTCTTCCCTACGTTCTGTCCCTTCTCTCCTCCTGATTCTGTCCACCTTTTGCTCCAAATCTTCTTGAAGTCCTCCGCCCTCTCTTCCTTCCATCTCAGTCGTTTTTGTTGAGTCTCTCTTTTTTCGGCCTTTGCTCTCTTCCTCGTTCCATTCCACCCTGAATATGATCAGTAGATGGTCTGATCCCTCCTGTTCCCTCACCTCCATGTCCATGAACCAGCTAGGTGCTTCGTTTCCTTCCATCTTGACCAGCACGTAATCCAAGACACTCCCCAGTCCCGCTCCTTCCCCTACAAACGTTATTTCTCCCCCTCGTCCCCCCTGGCCCCTCCATTTTGAACTAAGAGTGCCCTCTCCTCACACCATTCCATTAGCTTCTTCCCTTCTCCTCTTATCGTCTTGTCTTGTGATTTCCTTTCTGTTATCCTTATCTCTTCTTTCCATCCGCAATCTGCTACTCCCTGTAGCTCTCCTGATTTTGCATTTAAGTCGCCTACGATAATCAGTCTCTCCTCTGACCCTTCCGAGTCCTCCACCAGTTCGTCCATCTTCCCCAGTGCTCTTTTTAAGTTTTTCCTGTCATTGTTGTAGATGGATTACCCTGTAACTCTCTCTGATTTCTCTCTCTTGGATCCTCAGTTTCATTCCATATTCCGATTCCTCTACTATCCAGTCTGCTTCCAATGTCTTCCTTATGCCTACTAGATATTCCCCGCTAGCCTTTCCCCTCTTATGAATTCTCTTGGCTTCTTTCCCGAACCATTCGAATTTTGAGTTCAACTTCTCCTGCATTTTCTTCATACCTTTCGCCTCCAAATGTGTTTCCTGGAACAAAACGACGTCCGCTGTTTCCCAATGTTTCTCATTCTTACCTATGTTTGCCGCGTTTTCCACGTTCCAGTCCCATATCCTCAGCAGCCTGTTCTCCTCGTCCTCTCCTTCTCCTGCCGTTGACTTAAAAGGGCGTTCTCCTTCCCTTCCTTGCCGTGCGCCCTTTCTGTCTCAGTTCCCCCTTCTCCTCATCCCACTCTAGTCCCGCTCTGTCCACCATTAGCGAGTTGTATGCTGTCTCTGCTTGTATGCCTCTTCTTCTCCAATTGCGCGCCTCCTTCTCCAGCCAGGCCTGCACCACTCTTTGCCTTTCTGTCAAGTCGTCCTCAATGTATACCCCCAACCCATTTCTCCCAGTCTTGTCTTTTCTTTCATCACCATTATTTTCTGATCCAAGTCTTCCACTCTGGCCAGCCATTCTCCTTTCTGCCTTCTTTCTAGCCCTTCCATTTTCACTTCTACTCTCAGAGTCTTTTGGAACCAGCGCTCCAGTTCCTCCTTTTTTGATCTGGAAATTAGAGTTAGCCCCTTTACCACCATATTTTTCCTTCTTCCTCTTCTTTCCATTCGTTCTCTCTCCCATTCCTCGCTGAACAGGCCTCTCGGTGGCGGGTTCCGTGCATCCTCCATTTGTTGCTCTGGCTCACTGTTCCATTGCCCTCAATCCTCGGCATTACCTCTTTTCCCGCCTTCACTGTTTCTGTTTCCTTTTCCTCGACTACTTACACTCTCGCTGCCACTACTGCTTTCCCTTCTTGTTCCTGTCTTCTCTCTCCATCTAGGGGGTTCCTCCATCTTTTCCTGGGTCTCTTGTGGTCCTTCCCCTTCCCCCCACCCCTCAGTTCCGCTATCTGTCGACTTTCTACCACTTGTGTTTATCTCTAGGCTTTGTGTGGTCTCCTGTCTGCCTTCTAGAATTCTCTCTTCGTTGCTTCTTTTCGTTGTCTTTTTTTGCTCCTCATTATCCTTTTTTCTCGTCTCAAACTCAGCCCTGTCTTTTTCCTTTCCCACCTGCTCAACTCTTTCGTAATTACTTTCTCCCCAATCCTTCCACCACGTTTGCCTGAAATTCCCCTGCCTTGGTCCTGACTCCTCTGTTCTCCTCTCCCTCCGTCTCTCGCAGTCTTCACATCTCCATCCCTCTCCACCCGGTTCCCTTCCCTCTGTGTTCCTCGTTCCCGTTTCTGCCACTAGTTCCTTCCTGAGTACCTACCTCAACTCCGTGCTGAGGACTCTCTTTAGCTCCGTTCTCAATAACCCTTCCAGATCTGACATCCTTGCTTCCCATTCTTCCTTCTGTTTTTCCTCCCATTTTTTTAGCCAGCTCTTCATGCTTTCCTGAATCCACACTTCCTCGTTCGTATCTGCTTCTGACACCCTTTCCTCTGTGCTCTCGTATTCACTGCCTTCCCCTGCTTCTCCACTGCCTTCCCCTGCTTCTCCACTGCCTTCCCTTGCTTCTCTTCCTTTACAGCCTTTTCCAATTTTACGTCCGCCTGGTTCCTGCGTTGTTTCTTCCAAGGCTCCCTTTTCCTGTTCCTCTGACACCAAATTCTCATTCTCTCCCTCTTTCCTTGTTACTGGGGTTCTCTTCAGGTGACTTTTAGTCCCGAGCGTCTCTTTCTCCTCTATTCTTTCCATGTTGGATGTTATCTCGTCATTTTTCTCTTCTGCTTTGCCATCTGAGTCTCTCCTCTCTGCTGTTTCCGTTCTATTCTCTGCTTCAGTCGCGTTCTCTCCTTCGACCGCCTTCCCTTCTCCGTTCCCCCAGTAGTCATCCAGTCATCTTGTTGTCTTCTCCGTCGCCGTACTCGTTGCCTCTACCTGACCAGCCTTCGGTTTCCTGCCTCTTCTTCCCTTTCCTATCCTAGGTGTCTCTACTAATAACCTCTCATTATTTTCTTCCATGTCTCCGTTCTCCTTTTCTTTCTGCTCCCCTCCTTTCCTTAGGTTATATCCAACGCCGTCCCTCCCCTCTTGCCCTCCTTCATCACCCATTTTTTCCTAACCGCCAAATCGCCACTACACTTTATCCACTTCACCTACCTCCTCACCTGCGTTTTCACTCTGAGTTTATTTACTCTCCACTTGTCTTTCCTCTTTTTCCACCTCCAGGACTTTCTTACACTATTTTTCCTACTGTTTTTTTCGAATTTTTCGTTATTTTCCCTGCTACTATCTAACCACGCGTCTACTCCTCAGCAGAGCCTCCTAGCATCCTCTTTATCATAAAGTTATGATATAGTTTCAAGAGAAACTTGAAGTTTCATGTTTTGTTTTTTTCTTAAAAAAATCAAGTTTCGTGGGCATTTCTTACATAGTGAGTGGTAATAAACGACGATATTCATATATAATTTTGAAGAGTGTGTTCCGGCCTTCAAAATGAGATATCTTGAATTCGCATCGAAGGAATTTCCATTGGGTTATTGAAGATCATTTCCATTTTGAACCCGATATCACACTCTAAAATTCGCAGTCTTCATTAGTTTTCGTGGCTTTGAACTTGACTGGTGAGAACATATGATGTACACTCCAAAGATCGCGATGAGCTCTTCAAAATGAGACCTGAAATCTTTCATCCTATCTGATCGATTGAATATTATGAGAGATTAAGTGTCAAAATTTGCATGTCACGTTTTCGAAATTTTCAATTTTTGGATGTTAATCAACAGAGATGTCATTCTTTTCTTTCATTTAGAGAACATATCGTGTACTTATTTGAAAGAATATTAATTAAGCTTCAATTTCATGCCTGAATTATCTGATTACTACCATTTATCATAAAGTTATGATAGTTCAAGAGAAAAACTGAAGTTTCAAATTTTTTCTGAAATTCAAGTTTAGTGGGCATTTTTTATATATTGAATATTGAGTGGTAATAAATGGCGGTATTCATATATAATTCTGAAGAGTATGTTCCCGCCTTCAAAATGGGGTATCTTGAATTTATGTCGATGGAAGTTCCATCGGGCTATTGAAGATGATTTCCTTCTTTAACCCTATAATGTTACACTCTATTTGCATTCTTCATTCGTTTTCGTGGCTTTAAACTTGACCGGTAGGAACATAACATTTATCACTTCAGAGATCGCAATGAGCTCTTCAAAATGAGGCTTACATTCCAGCCGATAGATTGAGTGTTATGTGGCATTATGTACTGTAACGTGTTATATTCGTTACAAATCATTTCATTTGTAGACCTTCGCGTGGTTTTTGGGGTTTTAGATTGGTTGCCACCAGACTTGAAGTCAAACCTACCATTCAACGAGAGTCATTTTTTTTTAGAGTTAATTTTGTATGACTGATTATTTTGTTTGTATTTGAATTTTGTACGAAATCACACGCTCAATGATTGGAGGACTTGTTGGACTACGGGGGACATCGGGGAATGATTGGCATGAACGTCAATTCCCATTTGAATTCGATAGAACCTGGAGTATCTACCAAGTCACGTAAAGCTTCGAACGTTGACCGTGATAGCATGGCGCTGAGAGGACCTTCGTTGCAGAACAGATGAACGAGTGGCGAGTCTACATTAGAGAGGGACTGCTACATCATCGAGGCCTGGACGCGCCGANGAATTATAATTGGAATTATGGTCTAGTTGGAATAATTAATTTATTCAACTAATTTGGTCATGCGCAGGCGCAAAGTTAGTAGAGCGCAGGCGTGAGATTTTGGGTCCAATCATAATTGAGAGTGATGGTCGTATTGCGGGGGGCCAATGAAATTAATTGCCGCGCAATTGATGATCGCGACGACACTTGTCATAGTCGAGCGATCACTTCTCTTCTGGTGGTGACGGCGTACACGTATTTCGCACGCCTGTCGAAAATTTTTTTTGTGTCCGATGCCATTTCAGAAGCCATGTTGGGCTTTGGCGTCCTTTGGGTATTTCTCCGGGTTTCCTTGGAATTCCTGGAAGTCACTGGGATATTTTGAGACCTGCCATGTAGCCGGGAGTTCTTTGGGATTTTGGTCTGGACATCGGTGAGCGTGGTGATTAAACATTTTGGTATTTTGTGAGGGCAAAATCGAGTCAAAATGTTCGGCGTTTCGCACGCCTTTGAACGACTGTTTGATAGTGACGAGATTTTGTCCGCCCAGTGGACAGTTTTCCTCTGAATCTTTTAGTTATGTTGTTTTTGTTAAAAACTCTCATTCGTTAGAAATATTAGTTCGTTCGGAATTTTACAATTTTGATTTCATTTTTTTTGTTTTTGTTTTGGTTCCGAATTTTGTACGTCAGATTCATCCATTCCGTGAACCATTGAGGTTTCGTAACCCTGGAGATTTTGAAGCATTTAATTTCGGTTACGATTGGACTCTCGTTGGATGGTATTTAACTTGGATAGTTTCGAAGGACATTGAACGTGGGTTACTGTGTGTCTCGTGACCTTGCTTCGTTTCGCTGGCCGTTGTCTTGAGTTTTCGTATTTGTTTCGGACAGCCAGCTTACTTGTCACGTAGACAAATTCTTGGGTTTCGATCGTTCAGTGTTGTTCAATCTACATGATTATTGTTGACGACATTTCGATTCTGGTTTTCTTTTTTTCTTTTTGACATTGATTATTCTTGACTTTTGGGGTGGTTAGATCTTTCAATTTAACTATCGGAATTTTTTTTTGTTTTTGACTAAATTGACTAAGTATATTACTTCTTTATTTTCCTATCAGAATCTTTTATTCCTTAGACAATTGTAGAATCAGTAACTATCGAAGCCTCATGATCGTCGATCGATCGAAACAACCAAAGGGGGTTTTCCAAAGAAATTGATTTGTGTTATTTGTATCGAATCATTTAATTCTGATTAAATATTGTGATTTTTCCCCCCCAATTCTGAGTTTAATTTATTTGTTTTATTTACCTAGTCACATCTCTAGTCTAAGCTCTTTCAGAAACCGATACACGTCTCTTCGTCTGGAGCTAGTGGGAGACCGTTTCGAGCTTAGGGCTAGTTTGATTTTGTTTCTTTCCGAAAAAACGGAATTGAAGCATGAAAGAGCTGTTGAAAGACAGAGAGCGTGTTAGACCCGATGGAAAAAAATACACGAAAACAAAAAAGATATCGTGAGACAGATAGGGGGGTAGGAATTTTGAGTAGGAAGAAAGGAATTTACCGTATGAGGACAAAATATTGTTTTGATGACAATAACAGGAGTATTAATGATGAAGTGGCTGAAAACTATCTCGGGCCAATGGATGTATCATGTCGGCATTGTAATGCGAAACACTTCGCTGGGGAACGAGTAACCAATGGGAAAGATTCATTCAATGATTGTTGCAGTCACGGTGATATAATAGCGGCCTCCTTCTCTGATTACCCTGAGGAATTTAGAGAATTGTTCGATATAAAAAATGCGAATTCAAACAATTTTTTCAAGCATATTAGAAGTTATAACAATGCTGTATCATTCGCCTCATTTAATGCTAATTTAACGAATTTTGAAGGTAGAAGACCAGGTCCTTATTGTTTCATGATCCAAGGGCAAATTTATTATCGAATGAATACAACATTGTATCCAGAAGAAGAAAATGGGGTATCTAGCTATGCACAACTGTTCATGGTAGATGCTGATGCAGCCAACCATTGTCGGATGTCTGCAATGAACAAGTTGAATACTTCGATTTTGGATATACTTGACAAAGTTATTCGTGAAAATAATAAATTCGTCAGTGCGTATTATATGATGAAAGAAGTAATAGAGATGGAGGAAGAGAGATGTGCCCAATCTGGAACGCCGATGCCAGAGATAAAAATGATTTTCAATAGCAAAAAAAAAAACAACCTATAAACATCGATACAATCCCCAAAGAACGAATGAAGTAGCTGCAGCTTTCTTAACTACTGCGGATGGAGAAATCCCTGAATCTTACGTGACCATAGCTGACCGAGAAGATGAAAAATTGACATTTATAAGCTCTATGGATAAGTATATTGAACCGTGGATTTATCCATTATTTTATCCATCTGGACTAGGTGGATATGACAGTGAAGATACACGTTTCAATAAGAACAAAAGAATTTCTCGATTGGCATACGTGAAGAATTTAATTGCAATTAGAAATACATTCAATCCGATTCTTAAAGGTCGTAAATTCTTTCAACAATGGATAGTCGACAATTATGTGAAAGTAGAGAGAGATCGCACAACTTTTATTAGAAATAACCAAAAGAAACTCAGATGTGAGACGTATCAGGGTCTCATAGATTACTTGGAGAAAAAAGGAGAAGAAAGCGATCTTAGAGTTGGAAAGATGGTCATTTTACCCTCAACATTTATAGGTTTACCACATAATATGGCTCAGAATTATCAGGACGCCATGGCAATTATCAGAAAATTTGGTAAACCAGATCTCTTCATCACTATGACATGCAATCCGAGATGGCGAGAAATCATAGAAAATCTTGATGCTGGAGAACAACCGTGTGATAGACCAGAGATAGTCTATCACACGGTAGATAGTTGCGCGTGTTTTCGATTTAAAAAAAGATTATTTAATCAATTTAATTATACTCGAGGAAATATTTGGGGCAGTTTTAGCATGGGTTTATGTTATCGAATTTCAGAAACGTGGTTTACCTCATGTTCATATGCTGGTTAATTTAACAAGAGATTATAAACTAACCCGTCCATGTA